TTCCACTTTGAGGGCTGCTTTGTTCGCGCGCCTGGTCAGATCATTGGCATTACCGTATTTGGGTTGAGTTGACCAATGACAAGGTTGCTTGCAACACAGCGATGCTGGCAGGCTACGATGCGAGGGTTTCTGGCCCATTGCTTGCACATGTGGTCCTATGGCGCGTTTTGTCTAGGTAGTGCTAGCAAGCACTGATGCATCCACGCCGGTCAGCCGTGCTACCCGCCATCCAGGCTCCCATCCCATTCTGCTCCATGCTTTCCATTCGCGGAGGGTTTCCTCGCGTTCGTGCCTGATGTACCAAGAGGCAGTCAGTCGTGTAGTTTAGTAAAGACGGCCTTTTTTCTTAGGGAACACTGATGCTTCATGGTTTTTTTTTATGTGACACTGATTTTCCAGGCTTTTTTTCTAGGGGACACTGTCAATCATGGATTTCACGCAGACGGACCCTGATCCATCTACGTCCCTCAAAGTGAATCTGAGGGCCTGATTACCGCGTTAACTCGTACAAGATGCGAATGTCAATAGTCGCAGAAAGTCAACGGTCAAGACTCTTGACCACCCCGCAACCGTAATCGGAAATGATGCATAGCAACGTAATAATCATAATGGATCGCAATAGTCAGTGCAACTGTAGCAATGCCTGCAAAATAAGAGAATGTACCCCTCAGAGTATACGGCTACCTAGGAAATTTCTATATAAACCCCTTGTCATTCTATATTTATTATCTTGGTTTCCCTTTACTTTAATATAAACAAGGTCATTTAGACTTTTGATGTCCTGACAAGCACAATCCTGTCCATTTTGATTTCTCGATTATATCAACAGTGATGATGCAGATGAGGCTAAACCAGGGTTAGATCGGTTGCTTAGCTCGCTTGCATGAAAAAAAACCCCCATATTACGCATGCTTGACTGTTAGCTCCATCCTCGAGAAGCATGGGGTTGTAAAGTGTGCTTGCCTGAATTATATAGCTGTTACGAGTGCAATTGAGTGAACGAACGAGAATTGCACTATCGAAGCAAGAGTACAATGAGCGAAGGCATGAGCGAAGGATTATATAGCGAAACTACAGTGGTAACGGTAATGGACTGTGGTTGTCGCGCGACAGGCCTGGGACCGAGGTTGGGAAAAGTGTCGAGGCGGAGGTCCGGAGCGCGGGTTACCCGTCGAGTCGTGAGGTCGGGGTGCGACGTGCGAAAGTGGCGGGCGGATTGTCGATGCGAGGGGGGCGAGTGGTAACGGTGCTGACTGTGGTGCTACAGTGATGTACGCGTTGAGCAGGGATGCGAAGTAAGGAAAAGGAGATTTTCCTTACACTACCCCCCCCCCCCCCCTTAAGGAGGTCCCCCTTACGAAAGTGCGTGTACGTCCCTGAAATTTCGGCTGCGCAGATACTCGGTGAGGGTGCGGTGGTTTTCGATTCTGTCCAAGGGAACCCAATTATCTTCGGTGGGTGTACGGTCTTTCCAGCGAATCAGGAACTCGATCCTTCGGGCTCCTCGAGGGTCACGAACTCGGTGGCTGAGGATTTTTTCGGGGGTGATGATTGGTTCAGTTGGCGGACGTGTCATGCTGGCTGGGCGATTGCGTGGCAGTTGGCTCGTGGACGGGACGTAAGGGCGAAGCAGGCTGACGTGGAACGAGGGGCTGACGTACCAGTCAGCAAGGAGGAGGAGGTGGGCGGTGACAGGTGTGATCATGTGGCTTATGCGAAATGGCCCGCAATATCGGGGGCGGAGTTTCGGGGTGACGGGCAGTCGGAGATTTTGGGTGTCGAGCAAAACTAAGTCGTCGGGCTTGTAAGTGACAGGTCTGCGGTGGCGGTCGGCGTTGCGTTTAGCGATGATGTTAGCCTTTTTAATCGCGTCTGCTGCCCTGGTCCGTGCCGCTTGCAAAATTTCGGCGAATTGTTGCGCACGTGGAGCCGGGTTGTCGGGATTCGGGGTCATGGGTACTGTTCGGTCCTGTCCGTAGTTCAAGTAAAACGGTGACTGTTGGGTCGTGGCGGATGGGGCGTTGTTGTATGCGAATTCGATGAGTGGCAGTTGCTGTTCCCACGTGTTCGGGTCGTCGCACGTGGCCCGGATGATCTGTTCCATGGTCTGGTTTGTCCGTTCTGTCTGTCAGTCTGTTTTGGGGTGGTACGATGAACTGAACTGTAGTCGCGTGCCGAACTGCTGCCACAGGTTCCGCCAGAAGTTGCTGGTGAATTTCGTGTCTCTGTCGGTGATGATTGACGCTGGTATCCCGTGCAGTCGAACAACGGTGGAGATGAAGAGGCGGGCTGTTTTTTCGGCTGTGATTGATTTTTTGCAGGCTGCAAAGTGTGCCATTTTCGTCAGCCGATCGACGACGACCAGGATCGCGTCATTTCCACTTGCCCCGGCCGGTAACCCGGTGACGAAGTCCATCGTCACCTGCTGCCAAGCACGCTCTGGGGGTGGTATCGGCTGCAACTGTCCCGTCGGCCGCTTCCGTGATGACTTCATGAGCTGGCAAGTGGGACACGATGCCACGTGTCGCTGTACGTCGGTCAACATTTAGGGCCAATAATAATACCGCTGCAGCTGCTGTCGTGCTTTTTCTACCCCTAAATGTCCCGAGGTAGCCCCGTCGTGTGCCTCCTGTAATAGTAGTTCCCGTAGTAGTGTGTACCCTGGTACCCAGATGCGGTCGGTCCCAGCTTTTACGTAATAGACTCCCTTGGCTGCTGCGAATTTCCTCCTGTGAAGAAAGGGTGGGTCTGTTTGATATCCGTAGGTAAATAGTCCTATCAGTAGCGGGCTGGTCTGGGCGAGTAGTATCGCGTGGATTTGGGCAGTGGGGCGGGTCAGTGCGTCGGCGATATTCAAGGCTCCTTTTTTATAGGTGACCGTGTAGTGAAAATTCGACTCGAGGAAGTCGAGCCAACGAATCTGTCGTGGGTTGAGGTGGGGCTGTGCGCGGAGGTACTGTAGTGATCGGTGGTCTGTCCGTACTGTCACGTCTGCGCCGGTCAAGTAACAGCGCCACACTTTGAACGCATGCACGATCGCGAGCATTTCGCGGTCGTGTATCGGGTAATTTCGCTCGGGCGGATGCAGTTTTCGTGACTCGTATGCGATGGGCTGTAGGCCGTTGCCGAAATCTTGTAGCAGTACGGCTCCGATGGCGATGTCGCTCGCGTCAGTAACAACTTCGAAAGGGCGGTGTGGGTCGGCGATGCGCAGGACGGGCGGTGAACAGAGGACATTTTTTAGGGCAGAGAAGGCAGCATGCTCTTTCTCCCCCCACGTAAAAGCGACCCCCTTCCGCAGTAAATCCGTCAGTCAGTGGGGCAGTCAATTGTGCCATGTCGGGGACGAACCGACGCACATAATTTACGAATCCTAAAAAACTCTGCAGTTCCGTGATGTTGGTCGGGGGACGCCATGCTTTTACTGTATCCAGCTTCTTGGGGTCGATTTCAACTCCAGCCTCCGAAATGACGTGCCCCAAAAATTCTAACCTATCCTGAAAGAACTCGCACTTGGAACCCTTGGTCAGTAAGCGATGTTCGTCTAAAACCTTAAAAACCGCTTCCAGATCCGCTAAGTGCTGCTGCTTGTCGCGACTGTAAACTAGGATGTCATCGAGGTAAACTATGACGCATTTATCTAAGAGTGGTGTAAATGCTTCGTTCATGGTCATCTGAAAATTCGTCGGGGCGTTGGTCAGCCCGAAGGGCATTACGGTGTACTCGAACGACCCGTATCTAGTCCTGAATGCTGTCTTGGCGCAGTCTGATGGTTCGACCCGAATCTGATGGTAACCCCCCCGTAGGTCGATTTTCGAAAACACTCGTGCTGTTCGCAGTTGGTCGATCAGTTCGTCGGCGCGGGGAATTGGGTATCGCGACTTGACTGTTACCCTGTTCAGTGCTCTGTAGTCGATGCACATGCGAAAACCCCCGTCTTTTTTCGGCGTGAACAGTATCGGTGCGGCGAATGGTGACGAGTTTGGTCGGATGAACTTTTTTTCTAACAGGTAATCTAACTGTTTCCTTAGTTCGTCGAGCTCGGGCTGTGTCAGTCTAAATTGGCGCTGTACAGTTGGCTGTGCCCCCGGTTCTAACTCAATCCTATGGTCATGCGCCCGCTGAGGTGGCAGTCCCTCCGGTAAGTCGTCCGGAAAAATTCCCGGGTATCGTTTCAACAGTTCCTATAGTTCGGGCGGTACTGCTGCCAACAGTTTCTGAAAATCGCTCGGCTGCTCTGCTGCTCCTACTAATGCTATATCCACTGCGTACACGTCAGCTCCAGCGGCGACAGCCCGTTTCATCGTGATGGCGTTGACGTGGACCGTTGAAGACTCGGGCGACTGCCAGCGAGGTAGCGCGACCCAGTTACCGCTACTTCGCACAGTGCAGCTACCCGTCGTCCAGTCAATTCGCGGGTTATACCGTCGCAGCCAATCACGTCCCAGTAAAATATCGTGCCCATCCAATGTCGTCGCGAGCATTTCCTGTGTAAACCCGAAGTTCCCCCCGCAGCGAACTTTTACCTTTCCACCTTCTCCCGTATGGCCAGCGGCGTGCCGTCAACTAAACGTGCGTCGATCTCGGGTAAGCACCGGCTAAGAGGCAGTTGCAGTTTTCGTGCGGTTGCGGTATTAACTAAGCTGTGGCTTGCTCCTCCGTCGATAAAAATCTTCACTGCTGCTCCCTGTATTTTCCCGTGGATCAGTACTGGGCAATCCGTCGCTGTACCCTCCTTATTCATCCGAGCCCGATCGATAGCGTGAATCGGTACTGTGACTCGGTGAGGGTCGGTGCGGTTGGGCGAGCAGGCAGTCTCGTCAGTAGTTGGCCCAACTTCTACTGACTGCTGGCGTTTCCCTGCCTCTGAGACTCCCTCCCCTTCTCTGCTCCCCGGCCCCTTAGCTCCTCTGGGCATTCGCTCTTGCGATGGCCCGGCCTGTTGCAAGCAAAGCAGCGCCCCTTAAATGGCGCGGCAGCTGCATTCGTCGCAACGGCGTTCACAGTGGCGCGCTCGATCGATCCCCGAGGACGATGTCCGTAGTAGGACCCCGGTCTCGGTCGTCGTAGGATGTCGATTTTCTCGGCGAGCGCGAGAATCTCGTTAATATCGAGAGCCCGCGTAGCATGATTTCGTGCGAGATGTCCGGCTTCAGCCCTCCGACGTAACGGTCCACCCGCTCCGCCTCGTGCATATAACCGACTTGCTCGCAAAGTGCGAGAAATCCACTCGTGTAATCTTGAACCGATCCGAGCTGCCGCCAAGTACGCAGTTTCTGACGCGCCGAAATAGAAGCCGCGATCGGCTCGAAGCGCGCCCGAAGCCCTGCGCACCACGCATCCCACGTGCTGTATTGGGCGGTTTCGCAGAACGAACTCCAGTTAACAGTTGGACCCGGGGGCCCTTCCTCTTGCGACGGTGGCTCGTAGGCGCGTGGCGACGTCACGATGACTCGCCACCAGTCCATGGCGGGGCCCCTCAGCAGCGAAACAGCATACCGAATCTTCGCTGCGTCCGACTCGACGTAATTCGCGTCGGAAAATACGTTCATCGTGAAGACCCACGATTGAACCGTCGGACCTCCACGTTGGCTTGGGTCGAAACAGGGCGGTCGTTGCGGCTTGAGTGGCATTGGCGTCATGACGGCTTGTTCGCCACTTGTCGCTGCGAATTCCACGTGCCGACGGTTTCCGCGAGGCTCCCGTGTGCTTGGCGCGCTCCCGTTTCCTCCCATGCCAGGCATCGGTTGGGCGGCGCTGTCACTGGCTGCGCCTGAGCGCTGTCCCATGCTGCCGTGTGCTGTTGGTGTACCGGACGAAATGACGATCGGCTCGTCTGATTGCGCAGGTGCATTTGTTGGTGCTGCTGGGGTGTTCACCGTGGATTGCGAACGCGCGGAGTCACGTTCCGCTGTGAGCGTCGCAATTTCCAACGCCGAATCTTCGAGTTGGCGCACCAGACGGTCGAGCTGCTCCTGCGTCAGTGTGGCGAGCGTGAATTCGGCCATGGCGGGGGTGTCGGGCGAGCTCAGCGAGAGCCTCAGTCGTGGCCGTGCGTGCTTACGAGAGAGCACTACGAGCGGCGGTGCTGTGTCGCTGAGAGACGTCTACCCCCCCCAAAAATTGAGATAGTGGGGAAGCGAAGGTGTGGGTGCGGTCCGAGAAGAGATCGTAGGCTCTGAATACCAAGTGTTACGAGTGCAATTGAGTGAGCGAACGAGAATTGCACTATCGAAGCAAGAGTACAATGAGCGAAGGCATGAGCGAAGGATTATATAGCGAAACTACAGTGGTAACGGTAATGGACTGTGGTTGTCGCGCGACAGGCCTGGGACTGAGGTTGGGAAAAGTGTCAAGGCGGAGGTCCGGAGCGCGGGTTACCCGCCGAGCCGTGAGGTCGGGGTGCGACGTGCGAAAGTGGCGGGCGGATTGTCGATGCGAGGGGGGCGAGTGGTAACGGTGCTGACTGTGGTGCTACAGTGATGTACGTGTTGAGCAGGGATGCGAAGTAAGGAAAAGGAGATTTTCCTTACAATAGCCGTATATATACATAATATGCGCATTGACAACAAGCATGAAACAAAACCAATTATTTCCATAAATTATATATTTCCAGCCAGGATTGTTAGCAATATTTATACAGGTTCTTTGCTATACTTGCTCACTAACCTTCACCTTTTCTTTATACAGTTATACTTCATATTGGGCTAAGTTAATATACACCGGTAGTTGTGGCTGTATGCACAAGCGGGAATTCCGGAATTGGATCTGACTCTTGAAAGTTGTTGACAGGGGTATGGCTGGGATTCTTGGTTCAATTCAGGCGGAGACAGCCGGCCCGGAGTAATCATTCCAAAGTTTTTTGTCGAGAATGGGTTTGGTCATGTCACGTTCGTTTATTCAAGGCCCCAGGCCAACCAACAGTGCGGTCCCAACCACCAGCACGGGCTGCTTTTCTTCACGTACAAGAAATAACGAGGTGTATCCCTGTCCAGTGTATCTCAAACGATTAGTCGCGCCGTCAGTCAAATCCGACGGTCCGTCATCAGGTTGACATGCGTCTTGGGTGGGATGAGCACGGTACATTGGAACTAGCCGGTTTTGGAGAGTTGACCTCATCCCGATTGGCATGACGCTATATTTGACTTATGCCCGCGGTTAGTTGACGGCTGAATGTCGGTCAACGTCGCCACGTCGATTCCAAACGTTTGTGATCGATCTGGCCGTCTAATTTCCTGACGTTTGAGCGTTGGAAAGGGGCATTTCACCACACTACCCGAGGGCTGAAAGGGTTGTGCTGGGCAGAGGTGTTGCTGGCAAACCATCGCCGTCCTCCCATCGGTTGTGTTGCGTGCACCGGAACAGTAGTGCACCACGTGACCATACAACCACTGACCACACGTACAGCGTCGTGAACCTTTCCGCCACTCTCTTGTAACGCAGGCCCTCATTGTTGTCTCACCCGTTGAAAGTTAGAAAGGCAATCATGGTGGGGGGGGGCGGATTCACGAAGGCTAACCAATTCCAGCTTCTGTATGAACAACGAGTCGAAGAATATCTGACAACGAGTACACCGGAGTGGCCCTATTTTTCGCTGGATTTTGAACATAAAATGTACATTGCTTGACATTCGGGCAGCGTGTACTTGTGTGAGGAGAATTTCAGGGGAATTCCGCCTGCCGGAGCTGCCGTTCCCGGTTAAGTTGGCGGCCGAAGCAGGCCCGGTTGTAATTATTTCGTCGGCCTAGGAAATCGGTCCACCTTTTAACGTCCAAAAGTTTGGGTGTGGTGAACAGTAACATAATACATTTGATTTGGAAAATACAGTACTGCATGTACACAGCTAAGTGTGGGTTGTTTCGCTGCCGAATTATTTCGACCACACGAATTTGCGAGCTATCTCTTAAGAGTCGTTCAAAGCGAGGCTCCTTAGCTGTTGTTTTGACAACGAAAAAAGAAACATCTTGAGCTTGACAGGCACCAACACCACCGCCTAACGCCGGCAGAACAAACAGAACCGGTTATCGAGACATCGATGAGCCCGTTTCTCCTGCCCGACGGCTTGGAACTGGGCTCGATTATTGTACTACACTACATCCGTTTGGTGTACAAAGATTTATCCAAGTTTCCACCCAACAAAAAAAAAAAACCACCACCCATCACATATTTCCTTCCCAATTGTCGATAAGTCCAAATCTGTAGTTACCAGCACAGCGGTAAGTACCTCCACCAACTTGCCGCCGATGGTTTGTTGGCTCGTTCATCCGAACCGCGACGGCGCTTACCCCGGGGCAATGCCAGTCCCAATAGTTCCTTCGTTTCGTGATGCGCTTCCACTGGAAATCCTCCTGCCAGTGGCCGCCACTGTGGCAGGAGAAACCCAGGTAAAGGAGTCCTTTGGAACAACGTCACGTTGTTAAAAGTGTCACGCTTGGAGAAAATAATATGGACACAAATGCCTATTACTACTACTGGTAATAGTAGTTCCGCTGGCAACAAACAAAACGAAGCAATGAGGCACCCTGAGCTTGCAGAAGCTGGCGTTAAAGTTCCCAAAACCACCAATGTCACTGCCGCCACTGCAAGTAGCAGTACACATGACATTTTAGGAGAGGGATTTCCGCCAGGATTTCGATTCCGGCCGACGGACGAGGAGCTGCTGTGTTACTACCTCAGGCGGCGCGTGGAGGGCCTTCCCATCGCATGGAATGCGATTGGAGACGTGGACCTGTACAAGTCCGAGCCTTGGGAACTGCCAGGTACCGCCCTGCATAACACCAAAAACAGTGTTTTTATCCCGGGAGATGATCCTCTGTCCGACAGCCAGGGCACCAAACCACTGTTTAGAATGCCAAAGAGATCTAAGAACACTGAATTTTCTCCTTATTTGCTCCTATAACATCTCTCCTCCCCTTTCATATCTCCCTCTCTCTCTCTCTCTCTCTCTCTCTCTCTCTCTCTCTCTCTCTCTCTCTCTCTCTCTCTCTCTCTCTCTCTCTCTCTCTCTCTCTCTCTCTCTCTCTCAGAGACCTGAGTTACCCCCCTTCTCCCCCTCATCCCTCCTTCTATCCTTCTCCCAGCAAGAGCAACATGCCCTATTTCTGGAGACGGCGAATGGTTCTTCTTTGCAGCCCGCGACCTCAAGTACCCATCAGGGTCAAGGTCCAATCGAGCCACATCTGCTGGGTACTGGAAGGCCACCGGGAAGGACAGGCCAGTCCACGTGCGATTCGAAGGCAACGAAGGCACAGAGGACCAGACGATCAGAGTGGGAATAAAAAAGACTCATGTCTTCTATATGTGAGTTTACTGCTGCAATAGCTTCTCCCTCTTGAGCTGGGCGTGTTATGCTCTTTAAGTTGTTCTGGGCTTGTTCAGGTCTTCATATTGCCTGTTTGGGTTAGGATTAAATGTTCAGGTCAGTGCACAGCTTCCTCAGGCTCGTGTTCCTTGTTTGTACTCTCAGATTTGTTGTTCAGGCTTTTTAAACATTGCTTAGTTTTCTGTTGCTTGGCTGGGTCATTTGTTCAAAATTTTATGTTGTTCCTTTTGGTTTTCAGAGTGCTTGTTTGGTCGGGTTTTCATACTGCTTGTGCTGGCCTTTATTATTATTGCTTGTTCCAGTTTCCAGGTTGTTGACTGTTGACTGTTGCCTTGGGGGGGGGCTTCCACTATTTTTTGTTCCCCTTGTTTGGGTTCTGTTTACATGTTCAGCTTACTTGCTAGGGTTTATGGCTTGTTTTCAGATTGTTCAGTGGGAGTCTCAGCTTGTTTGTTCTTGATTTTGGTATGGGTAATTTCATATCGGTCGTTGGGGATTTGGGTTTCGGGGGTGGGGTTGAAACGTGTGGAACGGTGTTCATAGCCCTGTTTAATCAGGCTGATGGTTTCTGGATTTCGATTTTTCTTTTTTCTGGCCATTCTAATTGATGTGTAGGCTACCTGTATGAATATTTCTCTCCTTTCGGCGACTGAGGTTATGGTCTGAACGGGTGTTTGATTTGTTTCTTTAAGTCGGCGGGATTATGATTTCTTTCTTCCATATTTTGGGTCTTCATTGTTCGGGTTGGTGGGATACCCTTTACTTAATAAGCCTCTATACCTTTGTCATTCTTCTGTTGGCAAACAGGGGGAGAGCGCCAGGAGGGGACAAGACTGACTGGGTCATGCACGAGTACCGGCTGGCAGAGGATTCGCCTGTAGCTGGACCTGCTGCTACGGACGTGGCACATGCTGGACCGGCTGCTACAGCTGCAGAAAGGGATTTGCAACCACGATTGGCTGCACATCATGGAGCTGCTCTGCAAGTGGATGAAGCCGGTGGTGCTGTATCTGGCCGAAACAGCAGCAGAGACGATGACACGACCAACCCAGACACCAGAGGTCCGGGAGCTGTGAGTGGTGCTGTTGATGGTGTTTTAGGCAGCAGCAGCAACAGCAGCAGCCCCAAGGGCAGCACTTTGGAACGTCGGACTGGCACTGATCGGAGGATCAACCTGGCATCGTGGGTGGTTGTGAGAGTGGTCAAGCGAAGCTCCCTGACCTCTGAGGAGCAAGCGGCTGTGACGCAGCAGGTGATGGCGGCACAACATGCATTGGTAGCACAGCAAAGGTTGATTGTAGAACAGCAGCACCTGGGTGGGTCTTCTCTACAAGGTGCGAGTCCGCCGCTCTTAGTTCACCCGCGAGGGAGCGGAGCAGAGCAGCAGCAGGCAGGAGTCCCTGCTGGGGATAGAAACACCGGCTGGGCTAGTGGTGAAGGTGATGCTAGCGGTTCTGCTGGTGCTGTGAATCCAGGAATGATGAATATTGAGCAGGGACATGATAGGGGAGTAAGAGGAATGGCAGGGCAAGAGGGTTTCATGGTTCCCCAAGGAGCGTACGCAAGTGGGACTGGTGGTGGTATGGGAGGAAGCAACCTGGCAGGTGCTCATGGGACTACACACAGGATGGGAAGTTTGGCACCAGCAACAGGGTACCCTACGGGTGTGAGTAATTCACCCTCTACAGACTTCCAGGGGGATAACTCCCCAACTACCCTCACAGCCAGCCAATCGCCCAACTCTTCCTTCCCGGCAATGCCTGTAGATGGGCGGAGCAGTGACACAGCAAGCCAAGCAGCAGGTTTGGATATAGGAGCAGCAGTGGGAGCAGCAGTAGCAGCAATGGCGTCTGTAGCAATGGATGTAGCAGGAGCAGGAGCAGCAGTGGGAGCAGCAGTAGGAGCTGGTAAGCTCTCTGGTAACCTCTCTACACATCCAACTCCCGTGTCCCCTCTCCTCAGGCTGCCAACCTCGTACACTGGACTCACCCATTCTTCCTATATCCAGGCTGGTGCTATTGAGACGACTCAAAACACTGCTGGCAGCAGCAGCAGGCAAGCAGTGCAGCAAGGGTTACTGACCCAGCCGCAACTCAGCCTGCCACTTCTGCAGCATCTGTTGTTGCTCCAGCAGCAGCAGGGCAGCAATGCAACAATGCAGCAAGGGATGTCGCCCCAGCAGCAGCAGCAGCAGCAGCAGCAGCAGCAGCAGCAGCAGCAACAGCAACAGCAGCAATCCAGCAATGCAGCAAGGGTCATTGCTCCAGCAGCAGCACCAGCAGAACATCCCGGCAGCGCAGCAAGAGTTAGCGCAAGTGCTCTATCACGACCCATCATTCAGGCAGCTGTTGTTTCAGGCAGAGTCTTCAGAGCCACCTGGCAGAAGGGACGGCGACACTCTCATTGAGGTGGAAGCAGAGGCAGAGTCTTTCGGGTTATGGGAGTTGATGCAGGAGGGGATGCGCACTGGGGAGGATCACATGGTAGTTCCAGAAGGAATGGCATTACTACCAGAAAGAATGACAATACCACCTCCACCAGGTACTACCGTGCTGACACCAGCCAATCCCCTCCTTCCGTTTCCCCCAACCCACTCCAACGTCCAGCTTCTCTCTCTGCCACTTACGAGCGCACCACCAAACCAACAAGCTGGTTTCACGGCTACCTGTCAGCAACAGCAAGGCCACAGTGCACCACAGCAGGGTGGTTACCAGCAGGTGCCAGCAGCCCCTTTTTCCTCCTGGTCTGCTCCTCCACAGCCGTCCCGTCCTACCCCTTGCGCTTCCATGACTGCATCCTCCGCTGGTGCCCCTCAGCCCCATCATGCACTGCAACGTCCAGCCATTCTTCCAACATTCCCTGCCCCTGCTCGTGTTGCTGCTGCCGCTGCTGCTAGTACAGACCCAGCCAGTGCTCCTCATTCAGCTGATCCAGTTGACACAGCAGCAGGTCAGAAGAAACTACAGGAGGAGATGCAGCAACTGGCCGATCTTCTCAAATCCATCTTTGGAAATCCAGCAGTCACCACCAGTGCTGCCACTACAACCGGCACCAGCGCAACTCCTGTTGCTTCTTCTACTGAGGCTGCTACAGCTCCTGCCCCTGGCTCTTCTGCTGCTGCTAAGGCTGCTATTCCAGTTGCAGGTGATCCCCAACCCTTCGGAGGTTCAGCTTCTGGAGTGGTTGCCATAGCCTCTGCCATTCAAAGCATGGCTGCAGCCCTCAATACGGGTTCTGGAGGGCTCTTGAACAGCACAGCAGCGGAATCCTCGAGAGAGCCCTTAAGGAATCCGTTTGACACACTGTCACATGCAACTTTAGCCCCTTCATCAGTTGCAGCACCCCCAAATCCGGTTGTAGCACCGCAATATTCGGCTGTGGCACCTTCTGCAGGAGCCCAGCAGGGGAAAAGACACAAGGGGCAGCACACTGTAAATTTTGGGTACCAGGACCAGCAGCAGCAGCAGCAGCAGCAGCAGCAGCAGCAGCAGCAGCAGCATGACCATTATTCCCTGAATGAAATGCTTCAGCAGCACATGTCCCAGCAGCAGGAACTCAGTCCCGATCCCTCGCGTCCCAGAAGTGTTTCCTGCCCAGCTGTCCCTCTGCAAGTCGCCAATCAGCATGCAACGCCCTTTCGATCCACCCACAGCTACAACCATCCCGGTTCATTGCAAGGGGTGACGGGTGGGCAGGGTGAGCAAGGGAGGACAGATATGGAAACCCAGAGCGATTCGCTTCTTCATACCAACCTGTGGGGGAGAGGTGGAACGGAGGTGGCTGGAAGGGGGAAGGAGGGAGAGGGGAGGGGTGGAGGGGACAGCGGGGATGGTGGCTTGGAAGCAATTATCCGCCATGTTTGCTGGTATGGAGGAGCAGGGGGCTCTGGGATGGAGCACAGAGAAGCGAACTTGCCAGCAGGGGTGGGAGTTGCAACAGCAGGGGCAGCAGCAGTCGGTGCAGGGGTCGCAGCAGCTAGTGCAGGGGTGGCGGGAGCTGCTGTGGGAGCTGCAGCAGCAGCAGCAGCAGCAGCAGCAGCAGCAGCAGCAGCAGCAGGGGTGGAATCAACCAGTGCAGGGGTGGAGGAAGCAGGGGTGGGAGATGCAGCAGCAGGGGCAGCCTCAGCAGCTGAGGCAGCAGCATCAGCACGAGGAGGAGGGGACCTGATGACATCGGTGGATGGGTTGGGGATAACAGACCTAGAGGCGTTTCTGCTGGATGCGGAGGAAGAATTGGGCGCCTTCAGCAGCATGCTCAGTGGGTTCAGCCCGCATCCCTTTAGCAGCATGGTTGGAGGGTCCAACCAGCACTCAAATAGCAGCATGGTTGGCAGCGCTCAGCCCTTTCCCAGTGGCACGCCCATCGGTCAGCCACCAGTGCAGCTGCAACCATCCGTGGGACAGGCAACATCTGCGGAAATGGCACCATCAGCGGCACTGCCAACGCATGGCGGGTCTGAAAGCTCATTTGCATCAGAGGAAGAGGCTGCTGCCGACATGGCCACTTATCACACGAGCAATAACACTGGCAGTGGTGACAGCATGTGGCCTAGCGGTGAGGGTGCTCTGTCACTGACCGAGTCATTCTTCCCATCACCAGCAGTACCTCTGACAGCGGGTCAAACATGGACAGATGGAGCAGCTGAGTCAGGAGAAGCATCAACAGCAGCAGCATCCGCAGGTTCAACCGCAGCAGCAACATCAGAAGCAGGAGAAGTAGTAGGTGCATCTGCAGGTGCAGAAGCAGCCAGTAGAAGCATGACTGCCAGTGTTTCAGGGGGATCACAAAGAGGGAATCGTGGCAGCCAGCGCAGGATGCAATCCCCCAAAAGGAGCCGTGAGGAGGACTGCTGATTTTGTATTCTAAGCAGCTGGTTCATGTGCAGATGTTTCTCCCTGCGAGCTGTTAGTATGTATATCATGGTGACACCTCGCTCAGGGTCTTTGGATAGCGTCATCGACGTAGAATAGTAGGAGTAATGTCCTTCCTGTTCCCAAATAGCAGTTTGTTTCTCCGTGAGAGATTGGATAGAAGCCATAGGAGAACATGCAAAAAAACAAGTGGGACTGTAGATACGGAATAGGCATTCCATTCAATTCTTCAAGTACAAACTTCATTCAAGCCTATAAATACATACACCCTTTGCAGATTACGACAATCCCCACTCCTTTCGACTGCACACGTAACACAGAGTTAATCTTTTAGTAGCACGACTACTTCAATTGCGTGTCAGGGCCATCCCAAATGGGGAGCCAAAAGTGTTGATCCCTATATATACATATGCATATGTATACGTGTATTGTTCATCCCTTCTCTTGCACTCTAGTTCATCAAGTGTAGTATCAACAACACCGCAAGAACCTCAAGCCATCCAAATCTCTAACTTAAGAGAATTAAATGCACGACCCGCTATCAAGTCAATCGGACTGAAACACAATGACAAATTAAATTTGGTGTCTCGATATCAATATATTGTACATGCCATCTAGTTTTGTAATTAACATCTACTGCATTTGACGGTACACAAATTTCAGCACGTGCAGGGAAATGGAAGGTAGGTAACCATCCCTACCTTCACAGGTCAACTCTACTTGTTTTTCCAGGGCTAGATATGTCACCACCACCCTATGTACACTAACGCCTCCCAGAGAGACAACAACTCGTGAAGAACTTGCTCAAAGCAAGAATCAGCAGTCCTCTTCACGACTCCTTTTGGAGGAGAGAATCCTTCCATTGCCCTCCCTTCTGTACTTCCCCATTTGTGATTCCTGCAATGAATCAATATTCCTGCCCGCGGCAGTGGCTACCTCGGCACATTCTCCTGCTGCTGCTGCAACTGATCTGTCTCCTGCTTCTGCTGCTCCATCTGCTCATGCCTGACCCACTGCCCTACTTCCCGAAGCTGGGAAAACTGACTCTGACAGCATCAGAGCGCCCTGGCCCTTGGACCACATGCCGTCACTGCCACCAGTGGGCTTTGGAGCCAACTCAAAAGCGCTTCCCTGAGCTGGGAAAAATGGTCCTGGGAGCAACAGATCGCCCTGGCCCTTGGACCACATGCCGTCACTGTCATCAGGGGTATTGCCAGTGGGATAAGCAGCCACAGCCGCAGCAGCCCCCTCCTCTGATGCAAATGAGCCTGCATTCCCAATATGCATTGGCGGTGGGCCAGTATGCAACGGGGTAGATGCCAGTGGTATGGAAGGTGGCAGCCCCTCAGACAGTTGACTGATGACCATGCCAGTCCCAGTGGTATGGAAGGTGCTAACAGGCTGGATGGTGCCGATCATGTTGCTACTGGGATGCTGGCTGATCCAGCTGAGCATGCTGCTGAGAAAGCTTACTTCTCCATCCCCATTCAGTAAAAGCGCCTCCACATCTGTTAGCTCCTCCAACCCATCTACCGATGTCAGCAGGTCCCCTTCTCCTTCTCCTGCTGCTGCAGCCACCCCTGCCGCTGCAACTCCACCCCTTACTTCCATCACACCTGCACCAGTCGGTTCTGCCCCAGTTGTTTCAACTCTCATAGCAGCTACTGCCATCCCTGAATCAGCTGCTGCTACCCTTGCTGCTGCTACCCCTGCTGCCGCTACCCCTCCTGGCAAGTTCGCTTCTCTGTGCTCCATCCCAGAGCACTGTGCTCCATCCCCTCTGAAGCCAACGCCCATCAGGGTACGGCTGTCCCCGAAACGGGGCACGCGCATGTTGGGGGGATCGATGGGGGTTTTAGCCGATAACGGCACAGCCGGTACAACACTGCTTACCGAAGCGCCTATCCTCTACGGGGGGTAGGTTTCCTCCGGGGATCTTCTTAAAAGCCCAAAAAAAAAAAAAAAAAACCCAGAGCACTGTGCTCCTCCATACCCGCTGGTGAGACAAATAATCTCCTCCAAGCCACCACCCCTGCCGTCTCCCCTTCCTTTCCCTCTCCTTCCATCCCAGAGCCCCTTGCTTCTCCATACCCACTGATGAGATGGATCATTGCCTCCAAGCCACCAACCCCGTCATCCCCACCAGAAACCTCCGGCCCACCACTCTCCCACACACTGGTATGCAGCAGAGAATCACTGGGAGTATTCACGCCTGAACTCCCTTGATTGCCGTGTCCATCCAGTGCCCCTTGCAACAACTGGGTATGGGAGTCATGAGAGGGTGTTTCATACTGGTTAACGCCTTGACTGGCAGCCTGAAGCAGTAGAGTGACTGCAGGGCAAAGTCCCTGCTGCTGAGGCAAGTGTTGCTGGTGGTGTTGGTCATGCTGCTGCTGCTGCTGCTGCTGCTGCTGCTGCTGCTGCTGGTACCCAAATGTCACTGTGTGCAGCCCCTTGTGCCGTTTCCCCTGCTGGACTGCTTTCGGGGACGGGGCAACCAAATATGAGGGTTCTAAAACCGCATCCGCGGTTGTTACAGCTGCACATAACAGCGAGTCAACTGATTGCAAGAAAGATGCCCCCATACATCCTGATGCTGTGCTGTTCAAGCCTCTAGACTCCACTCTGTGAGCACCAGATACCCCCAACATGGCAGAGGGTGCAGCACCTGTTGGGACCACACCAGAACCTGACCCTCCAAAGAGTTGGGAATAGCCTGAAACTGGAATAGCAGCAGCTGCTGCAGTAGCAGCATCTACAGCAGCAGGAGCAGGAGGAGTTTGAGGCGCAACAGGAGCGGCAGTGGGAGTAGTTTCATGAACAGCATCTGCAATGGGGTTGACATGATTTCCTAGAAGAGATCTGAGAAGATCAGCCAGTTTCTGCATATCCTCGTAACGGATCACTTGACCTGCTGCTCTGTAACCTAGCTCAGATGACCCAGCAGCACCAACTGGGATAATACTAGTCCCACCACCACCACCACCAGCAGCAGCAGCAGCAGCAGCAGCAGCAACAATGAGAGCAGGAGTAGCAGTGGCAGCAAAAACATCATAATTATCAGCAGCAGCAGCCGCAGCAGCAGCATGGGTGGTAGTATCAGCACATAGAGCAGCAGGAGCAGCAGCAGTGGAAGTTGGAGGGATGGCTGGAGTGTGCTTCTTACAAGGCTGAGAGGCCGTGAAAGGCAGAGAGGGAAACTGGAAGTGGGTTTGGTTGAAATTGCGAGTTAACACGTGGGTGTGGGTGTGGGTGTGGGTGTGGGTGTGGGTGTGGGTGAGGTGGAGGGGGACGTGAAGCAGGGGAG